CAAACGGATGTCACAAATCTCTTAGTTTGCATGATTGGGTCTATCGCTGAGGTCTACATTTATCTCTCGGGAGGGTGTAGTATTCGCGGTATCAGGCACGATTATGCAAACTATCAGACTAATGAGATCCATTTGGTCTCATTTTTCAAAAATTAAAACATATTACTTTTAAAACTCAAACTATATATCTTTTATACTTAAATTAAATCTCAAAAATTATTTTCATATATCATATTTTTCAAATAAATCTAATCAATCGAAAAAAAAAAAGTTGACCGACAATGTCATGCCTTGAGATTTGTGTTGGATGTTGGAAATTTGTTGACGACATATTATTTCCCAAACATATAATCAAGTGTCCTTTAAATGTAATTTTTTTCCAAGAGTTTGCATGTCATTTTGTCTGCATGTTCCTCACTTTATAACCACTGCCACAAACTAGCATGGTCACGACAAGAATCTTCAATTATCATTGACACTCTAAAAGGAGAGAAGGGGGGGCATTTATACCGAACACACAAATTCTTATGTATTTACACAATTCACATCTAAACTTTCATATTTACACACATAGCACTCAAAATTTTTAATATCACATCAAAAATAATATTATTAACACTTTTTAAAAGTAGAATACACTTTTTCATGCATAGGTTCGTCTAGGCATACCATGTGATTGCAAAAAATAATAATAAACTTATTATCAATTCAACGAATAATTCATTTAGGAAATGGGAGGCAAAACTAGATTTGAAACTCATAGAGTTTCAAATTAATCAATAAAGTGACGTTCAAGATTCTATTTGCAAAGAAATGCATGAAAGGAGATTCACCTGGTGAGGATTGCGATCAATTATTGATTGCTCTTTGAACTTCAATTTACACGAGTGCTCTCGATTTCCATGTATCCGCATTGTACCATAATGATCACAATATAACTTTCCGAGAATCAAATTATAAATGGAGGTTGTTACCTGTAAAATCCTACAAAATCAGATTTCGCAGACCAGTCGCTGCGCTGAAGCTGAACGTCATAGTGAAAAAAAAAAAAATGAATATAATGCATATTTCTAAGAAAATACCTTGTTCCACTGAAAAAATTCACCGTCATCAAATTCAAGAGTCAAAATTCCAACAGGATCAAGTTGAATTGAACGACCCCAAAATTTACTCTTTAGATTACTGTCTCCCCAGAACTTCCACCCAGTTCCCTCACAATGGCAAGCAACAATCATAGGGTGATGACTAACCTGTGTTGCCAGTAATAAAAAGAAAAAGAAACCAAGATGGTAAAAATTAAAACCATCCAATCTCTTTAAGATCATTGAAACAAGTGACAAAAATATTCAAGAACTTTTAAAGATTTTTTTATCATCCATGAATCATAACTTTTTAGATGGATAGCTGTGATTTCAATATGCAGAGATGTAGAATGAGTAAGGGACTAAAGTTACTAATGCAATATAAGATAAGATGCAAAATAAAAAGATACAAAAAACTATAACTTGGAAGGCACTAACCTAGAAATTTGGCAAAAAACAACAGCAATCATGTAAAAAAAGTTTACACTTATCTCAGAACATAGGAAGGTTTCATCTTTCAAGGTTCCTATATGCAATAAATTTGCTAACAGTGTGATTTTCTACCAAACATTTGCCTTCAAGACCCTATCTACTACAATTTTGTTTCAATGTCAACTCTTTCCTGCTATGTGCTACAGTATCAGATCTAGATAAACCCATTAATTTTATTGAAGTCCTGCGACTTATGCTTCATGCCTCTTTCGCTGATGCTACTGTGCTAGTTTTTAATTATGGATTATTGATAATGTTGTTAGTTCTGGAGAGTCCAACAGTGTTGTAATTTGCTACAATCCTAAGAATTTGCTGCCATAATTTCAGCTAATATTACATATCGCTTCCCGAATTGAATCATAGCTCCTTATCGTTTTCCTTTAGGGATAAATTCAAATATAAACTCTAAGATTTAAAGTTGGTACATATTGTTTGTGTGAAGATTGAATTGGGCCCCTGCAGTAGTTAAGCAAACCTAAATAGAAAATAAAAATAACTGAGTACTGTTGGCCTCACTTTTGGTTGAGGTTTAGTCTCTCCTCTTTAAATAGCCTAGGATCTAGCCGTAGGACTTTCCTGTAGACTACTCCTAGAAAACTAGCAAAGGAGCCCTCCCTTTTAGAAATTTTGAGCTTTTTTTCGCTCGACTTGAAGTTCCGCATAGTGGTTTTGACCTCTGGCACCTAGTAGGTCTGGCTACTGTGAGGAAACTCAAGGAGAATCCCTATAGAACTGTTGGCCTTAAGATTGATTGTACACGTTGATCTGACGCCGTCGTGCTCTTCGCCGTTCTGTTTAATTGAGCTCGAGCCGAGTTTTTGACGCAGTACGGGTCGCAACGCGTTTTTGTCTCGATCGTCGATGAGGTTGCCTAAACAACTCAAGTTGACGAAATAGATTGCGTCGACGCGTCCAGAACGTCGATTTTGCCTAAGGGGGGACGTTCATTTCATTCCGACGATGCGTCTAGGGAAA